AATGAAGGTCACCTATAACATCATCTTTAGCATTATGACTACTCTGATGATTCTCGATTCAACCAGACGCAAAATCTAAACTAGTTGGTCAACCAGACCTAAGCAGACCTCACTGACCCACATATAATAATAAGAATTAAAAAGAAAAAATAACTCTCATTTCGTTCTTAATTTCTTATATATGAAGATTGATAATTTTACTTATATTTTCTCTACAATTAAGATGGGTCCAAGAAAACTTGAGAAACGTAGTTGAATCTAGAAATTGAACTGCTAATTCGATTTTCTTGGACTTTGAAGGGCCAACGAGAGACGGATTCAGGATTAAATCTAATGGGTTCAACTAATAAGATTTTTATAGTGGCGAAGCCAGGAATTTCTCGAAGGGTGTTCAAAATTTAATATACACTTATAAAAAATAAATTTTGCCTATATACACAATAATACGTTTCTATATACACAATATAATTTTTCAATGAAGGGTGTTTGGTTGACCACCCTTCAATGTATATGGCTACGCCATTTTCGGTATTAAACTTATTGTACTGTTAAAATTATGAATTAAGATATAATATTCATTGAAACCTTTGTAGATTCTTACACATATATACAACGGCGGAGCCAAGCTTTTAAGTTTATGGGTTTGAAATTCTAGCACTTTTAAGTTACTGAATTCTAAATTAATAATGTATACATATTATTTAATTTCTTTATACAAATACAAAGTTTAGACTAAATCGACTGGTTCGGCTGAACCCGATCCGTCAACATTAGCTCCGCCCCTATATATATAAATTTCGTATCAAAAGTTACGAGTTCATCTAAATTCGCAGCCGAAAAGCTATATATATTCGCACCTCTAGGGCCAATTACTTTGAAAATGTTCTCCCATAAAGTCAAAATTCCATAAAAGAGGTAGGTCGCTGAAATCACGAGCCTTCAAGTAAGGTGATTTTAAACTATTCTTCTCATTTGTGATATCGGTGAAAACTTTTCATACGATATATATGAGTTCAATTCTCAATATCGTCTAAATTTCCCTTCTCCCAATATATATAACAGGGAAAAAAAAGGAACTGCTCCTCTCTGCATGAGAAGAAGTATGACAAAACAAATAATATAATAGAAGAAAAGGGGAAGCATGATATTGACTTAATGCATGAGATATATTGGGAGGAAACTAATAGGTTTTGGAGGGTTACCAACCAAACCAATGAAAGAGCTATGACTTTAACGTTTAAAGTTTTTCAACACGTAAAACAAGATTAAGAAGGATATACAATTATATAAAACTCTACAAAAGTTAGCCAACTAATCAATTGATGATGTACGAAATAGCCTATTCGGAAGATCACCAGTCAGTCAAAGCCCCTCATTTCTGAAAATGACATTCAGTATTCATACTATCTTTGAACCATACAAACTTCATTATTTTAAAATTCACTATTTGCAACTGCAAAAGAATTACCCATAGTACGTTGATTCTTTAGTTTACTTTTCCTTTATTGATACATAAAGGGCAGACATCCGGTACACAACGCATTCCGTATTCACATAGGATCCGAGAAAAGATCGCATCCCAAGTAATGTGATGTAAACAGCTTATCTTAATGTAAATATTAATGATTGTTTTCCCAACTCGAACTCCTAAGTTATAAATCATACAGAAATAATTTTATCGTTCCTCAAAGGCTCCCCTTCTATACATATAATCCTAAAAAAAGAAAATTTCTATTTTTCTATCAAGCTAAAAGATGAAAAGAGGATTACCTTTACCGTCAAAAGTTGTGGTGAGACGGGAATAATTTATTATTCACCCTTAACCATAGATCCGGAGTAGGGCTGCACATATATCGGGTATAACTGATAGCCCGAACCGATAAAATACTATTGGATTATTGATATCGGGTTATTGGATAAATAGTTCGATAACGGTTTAATGTTGTTTGAATATTGGGTTACCTGTTCGAGTCTCGATTTGTCCACTTTCATTAACGGTTTAACCGATAACCCAATAAGTTTTAACAAAACTATAATTTTACCCGGTAAGTATATAAAGCCACCTTATAGCTTCATTCTCTCATTCTCTCAATATCTCTCGGCAGTTGCTATTCATCTTCAATCCTTAATCCTTAGAGTAAATTTTAAACTTTTCTGAATTTCTCATATTAATTCTTCAATTAAGATTTTTAGTTCTAAACTTTAAAGGATTAATTGTTCAGATATTTAGTTTTTCTTTGTTGCACTGATTCTTTAGTATTTATAAGATTAGGATTTTATAATTTTCATGTGAATTATGCCCGCAGTAAGATAGTTAGTAAGATTAGATTGTTGAACTTATTCCTTACTCCTACTAACTTATAACTTTGAAAATCTAGATCATTCATTAGGATCTTCAAATGCAAAGAAAGTTTTCCTTTTCTAAAGTTGAAATTTAATCCCCCTTTTCTTAAGAGAAAAAATTTAGTTGCTTTCTCTTAACAGTATGATCATGATTTATATAATAAAATATGAAATTTTTGGATATTTTTTATTCTTATCGGGTAAATCGATAACCAAATCGATAAGGATCGATAACCGACTAACCAATACCCGATAACCGATATCTTATCGGTTCGGTTATCGGTTTAGCATATTTAAAAATCGATAATCGATATGCCCAACCGATAACATTCACAACCAAACCGAACCGAACCGAACAGACCGATACTCATCCCTAATCTAGAGAACTAGCCCTAGGTGTAGAAATTTGTTTTGTAGGGAACACTTCCCTCTTTAATGAGTTTAGGATTAGAGTTTAGGGTTTAGGCCGATTCAGAGTTTTAGGGTTCACAGTTCAGAATTTACGCTAAGTCCAAAATAGTTAAGATCTCAATGTAGATATATGACATCAGACGGAAAATCAAAATGAGTTTTTTCATTTTGTAGATATAAATGAAAAGAGAGAGAGAGAGAGAGAGAGAGAGAGAGAGAGAGAGAGAATTGTCTAATATTAAAGTAGGGATCTTAATTTTTTTTCGGAGTCTTTCTTTCTGTCTATTGATTTGCTAATCCACTTGTCATTAATTTATTGTACGCAATGACGTTTAAGCAAATATTATGTCAAAACAAGGCATTAACGCAAATCATAGAGCTCTTCCCTTTCCCTTTTAATTACCCTTAACTATCTTTTCCAAGTACTTTAGAATTAATTTTCAATTGTCAGCTAATAGCAACTTCTTTTTACATTTTCATCCATCGAGGAAAAGTCTTACTCGTGATAATTTGATGGATAAAACTATCTAAATAAATCTTGAATCCCTCTAATCACGTTCATTAAGGATAACAAACATATCAACGGTCGCTATTTATTTCTAAAATCCTAAATCTTCATACCATTGTATAAAAGCTACTCATTGCTAATATCGGGGGGAAAAAAATCTTACTAGCACGAAATGCATGCTTATATGTATATATATACATGTGAATATGTGATATTGATTGTTAAGCAATATATTTGGATACCATGTTATAGTTGTACATAATTTCCCATAACTTAGGAAAATTTATGAAGACCTAGCTCCCAAAAATTTTAAAAACTTATTTCCACTTATAAAACGAATTTTGTGCTTAAAATTTTGGGATTTGAAACAAAATTCGCATGCATTAATATCTCAAACGAAAAAAAAAGTAAGGAAATGGAATTGACGTGCCTCCTCATGTGTGTTCTTCATTTAGACTTTCCATGTATGTTACTCCATCTTTTTTTGAAAAGATTCATTACAAAATTAGGCATTTCCAAAAGCAGAAAATATTGAAAAATTATCTTAACCAAAAAACACCTTTCAAAAATGCAGAGCTGTCAAAACAACCATAACGTCAGTCAAAGTGTCACTCAAAAAATGATTAAGATTTGTGATTGATATAAACATAACAGATGAGGCACTGTCTATTAATGCAAAATCTAATTGAAAATTGAAATAAAGACAAACATTTCAGTACATGCAATTTAACCAGCATATAGGATACAAATACCATGATCACTAAATTAATGAAACTATTATTAAAGACGAGTTGCATTAATCATGGATGTTGTAACTGAAATTACAATTATACAACTTCATTGAGTGGTAAAATCATATGTTGAGCTGTATGCAATTATTAAACCGCAGGTATTATTTGTTCAATCTTTGTATTACATACATTCTTGGAACTTGAGGAGTCTCGGAACCCCCTCTTCCCTCGACCTACGTACGCCAATTCATTGTATTAGATTTTTGTGGCCTTAAAAGCATGCAATAAGAATAAGAATAGAATGAAAAGTTTAAAATAAAATTATTTATAAATATAAAAATATATAATTCTCTTAAAATAAACTAAAGAGAAAATATGTCATTTTCTTCTATTCAAGTAGTAAGTCATTTCCTCAAAAATAACATTATAAAGGGTGTGTCTATGTATAATCAAATATGATGAGTCTTCGTTACATTGAAATCGAATAGAATAGGATCCATGCAAAACCTATAGGGCGTGTCTTTTTTCTTTTTAATTTCATGTAGTTTAGAATTCCCTACATATTTAATGTAATATATATAGTAATAAAACCTATAGGGTGCTTGTGGGGGGGTCACCTCAGAAGTGGCACGGGTCATGGAGAAGTGGGAGGACGTGGTGGGGTGGTTTGGAGGGGGGAGGGGGTTCAAATTTGATAATTGATACTATATGGGAGTGGGGCTCATTATAAAAATGGCGATTACTCATTACTGTGGAGTAGTATGGAAAAAGAGACCCCTTTTGAATTTGAATGGCTATAAACCTGAAAATATTTGACTACTCCTACTAATACTAAATTGTTATTCTCTTTCAAATTTTTATATTTGTGAGGCTTCATTTTGAGTATAAATACCATACTGTATCTCCTGTTCCTATTTAATTTGCTTTCTTCTGTGATTCTTGAATTTGAGTGCTGATCTCTTAGCTTAAAGATATACAACCCCTTTCTTGTAAGTTTCTCTTTTGTATTTCTTCTTCCTTGTTTTTCATTTCATTTCTCTGTATATTCTCTTGAATTCCCTTTTCTATTTGATGTTTGTTTGATTATAACCTGGTATTTATGCTAAAGATCACTTTTTGGCATCTGGGGTTTTCTTCGTTCTCTCTTATTTCCTTTATTATTTCTCCCTACTTTGTTTTGGTATTGCATTAAAAGCTGTTTTTTCATCTGGGGTTAGCCCAAATTTTCAATCTTTTCTACATTTTGTTTTGTTTCTGTGTCCTTTTATGCAATGTTTATTCAGGGATTCTCTTTATTTTATTTTTTGGTCATTTTCTTGGATCGCTGTGTATGTGGTGTTTTTGTCCCCATTTGAGGTTTGTATATGCTAAGAGCTTATATTGTCGTTTGTTAAAGTTGTCTCATTCTATTAAGTTAAAGTCTTCCTCTTTTTCCTCCTTCATTTCCTAGTGCTTGTTTCCTTGTAGTTTATACAGATGAATTAATCAGCTGTTATGATTCTTTAATAAATATTTGGTATTCTTGTATGACTCCTGCCTTTATTTGATAGTGCTGCTGTTTATATAATCTGTTGGCTTTTTGATAATTCTTTAGAAACAACTTGTTGTGTCTAATTTCAGACAATTCAGTTGGAGAATAGATTGAGATTGTTGAAGGCATAAGTTTCCGTCTTATACATATCACCAGAGGATGGGGGATCACTTTGTTTTTCTGGTTGATCGATTGCTGACTGAATCAACTTTAGAGGCTGCAATTGAGAGCAGGAATCAGAATCAGTTAGCATCATGGATGACCAATGACGTGACACCGAATTGCTCATCCCAAGATGCTGCTGCTGTTTTGACTGCAGGGAAAATGGTAGAATGTAGGATATGCCAAGATGAGGATATGGATTCAAATATGGAGACTCCTTGTTCTTGCTGTGGTAGCTTGAAGGTTTGTGGACCTGCCTGTTCATGTTATTGTTTTTTCAGTTAGAGTATGCAAATATGTTATTAATTGGTGTTTTAGTCTTTTGATATGCTTTTGCTTCTGACAGATTAGTGTAAAATTTGGTATTTTTTTTTCTCAGAATCAAATATGAGTTAGGCATGCAAATCATAGTTAGTCTTTTCTTCCTACTAAAGAATATTTCTGTTTCGGATGGGCGCGATAGGTTTGCTTTCACAAGCATATTTAAATTCAGACGAGCCATCAAGTATTTTGAGTACCAAGAGATTCTGCCGTAGTGTGAATATGGCCATGTATGGAGGATATGCTACTTCATATTCGTTCTTGCTTCTCAAAGAATTTGTTTACAAATGTGATTGAGTGCGCTTATATCACTATATTACTGCCTTCCAAACAATGTATTTGTTGATACGTCTAGTCTTGAAAGTTGGCTCCTCTGGGTTCTTCTTCCGTTTCTTCCTTCTCTGTTTAGCCCTTGAACCAGCTTATTATTGCTAAAATCTAACTGTCCACCTTAAATATGAAGATGATGAGTCCTACCTTTGTCCTCATTGTTTTGCTTTGAAGGTCCAGAACCTGTATAAATTTTGGTGAAAGGTGGAACGATATTGAAAATGCTTTGAAATTGTTCTTCGTTTATCTTCTTCTGCTTTCCGCACCGAAGACCCCTGGGGTGGAGTTTGCATTTTTTTTCCTGGCTCCTTGTAGTAGACGAGGTGGAGCAAGTAGAAATGAAGATATTTAAGAGACTTGAACCTTCTATTTGTCGGGATTGGTGTCCGAGGCGAACATGCAGGCATTTGAACTCTCAACCAGTTTTGCATGTCTAGATGTTTAATAGAAGTGACATGGTGCATTTTTGGCTTTTGATTGGCCAAATGGGTCCACATGTTTGCTGATTCACGCATCTTCTTGTCCCCGCATTATTGTCCTGTGTTTCTCTATGTTTCTCCTAGTTCGAAATAGCATCAACCTTATGTAATTTCTATTATAGTTGATCAATATCTTGCCAGAATCCTTATGTGAATGGTAAAGCTGACACGAGTGGACTAAGTTAGATTTACTACTGGAATTACATGATTAGTTTTGCATATTGTTCTGTTTCCGTGCATTCAACGGATTAGTTTCTCTTCACAAAATTGATGTTTGATATGGAATACAGTAAAATTTGGGAGAGGGGAAAGAAAAGGAAAGTTACAATGTCCTAAGCCTTATTCTGTTAAATATATTAGGATGTCTGATTCCTGTATGGTGCTAATATACTACTCATAAGTCATTTTAGATTTAAACTTGATACTCTTACTCTAGCTGCTCCATCCTTTCCTAAATGCATTATTATTGACGTTTTTTGTACTTAAACGTGTTTTATAACTGTTTTTGGATTGTCTGTTTTCTTCCAGTATGCACATCGGAAATGTGTGCAAAGGTGGTGTAATGAGAAGGGTGATACCATTTGTGAAATCTGCCACCAGGTCAGATATGTTTCTTATTTTCTTTGTCCATCTTAAAGGTTAAACATGATTTGCAGCAACACGACCACTTTTGCTCCATCGAATGATCATTAGTATTTCTTGTTTGATTATTTGGGTTCGTTTAGAGCGTGCTTGATTGATTCAGTTAGCGTTGATTGCTTATTTACTTATTTTTGCATTTGTGTCAAGTAGCCTTTCAGGCCTGGTTACACAGCACCACCCTCTATTTTTCGCCTTGGTGGCATCCCAATGAATTTAAGGTATTTTTTCTTCTTTCATGCTTTTCCGAAATATAGTAATTATACGTATTGGAAATTTGAATATCCTAGTGTCGCATTTCCTATTGCTTTTCTCATTAGCTCACTTGAGAATGTATATGGTGTTTCTATCAGGGGGAATTGGCGAATTGTCAGAAGGAACTTGAATAATCAACGTGTGATAGCGGTGGTTTCAACTGATCACAATCTCATTAGTGCCGACTCTGAGGAAGATGCAGTTTCTACATCAAGAAGCATGATGTGTTGTCGTGTAGTTGCCATAATAGTAATCTCCCTCTCTCTCTCTCTCTCTCTCTCTCTCTCTCTCTCTCTCTCTCTCCACACACACACACACACATGAATGTGTGCATAACAGGGAATGTGAGCTATAATAACTATCCTGTGAGTAACAAATAGCCGAACAGGAATGTAATTAAATTGATATGTGACACAAAAAGTGATCACTCCGAAAAACATGAAAATGTAAAACGATCACTAGATTCCGTGCTCGGCTGGAGAACATCTCAAACAAGTAATAGCATAATTTCTGATATGTAAAATAACATCACTTACCCATTTTGGAATCTGGAAGGAGTTCTTTGTACTCTAGGGAACCAAGTTTAGCAATTTCCTAATTTATATGGCTCATTCTAACTTTTTCTTTTCCATTTTTTCTTAATAGTTTATGCTGCTGCTTGTCATACGTCATGCTCTTGCCGTCATAGTCAATCAAGCAGGGGACTACTCACTTCCATTGATTGTGGTAAGGTAGCGGAATAGAGAAAACGGGAATGTAAGTATTGCTATTATACAGAATGTCGTCTCACTTGTTACACATTGCTTTCAGCTTCTACTGCTAAGAGTTTCAGGCATTGTTCTGCCTGTCTACATCATAATGAAAGCAGTGACTTCTTGCTACCACCGGCAACACCAACAGGTTTGCGAAAAGTATATTTTTTATTTCTATGTTTCACCTTAACATACTTTGCTCCTCCTAAGTATTACATTATTTGTTTGACCAACTACAGGCTACTTTGCCCATCTCTTCACCCCGTGAAGAAGCTAACGTAGTGACTCTGCAGCAGGAGCCTCCTGTAATTGCTATCCAATGAATGGCTTTCACTGTTGAACCAAAAAGAAAGTTCATTCTTCAGACATACATCTCATAGCACATGTCGATCTTCATTTACTCTACTGTTATTACTCTTTCTTGCTGCAATGACTATGCTGCAGAAGGAGTTGCTGCGCAAATTTGTGAAGGATGATCAATAGACAAGAAGTTATATAATTGAAGGGATCGGTGAGGGATATTTCAGAATAGAAGCATAAAATGTAAAAGAAAGGACTCAAGTGATGAAAAAGAAGGCAAGATATCCATTTTTACAACTAGAGATATCTGAAGGTCTGAATTAGTCAGAGAAAAATCTTTGTACAGTTAATATGTATATGAACATGTTGAAGGAATACAAAAACTAGCAAAAAAAGTTGTTAATTTTAGTACTGATATGAGGTCGGAGTTGTATTGTTGGATAAAGTTTTGTCAGCCTAACTTGGAAGATGGTAAAAATTTACATGCACCCGGTATTTACATGAAATCAATATATACATAACACATTTCTTGTCTTAATTTGACAGATAACCTCAAATCATTTGGAAAAGCCAAATATGAGTACCTTGAAAGTTGTGCTTATTATAAAGATCAAATTTTCTTTACAGAGCTGAAAGGTAAACCTCCTCATTCCTGTAGTGAGAAGAAGATTCTAAACTACTAATTAGCAAGTTTTTGACTTGCTGAAGTTCATGATATCAGTAAAACTGTTCAAATCATTTTCCATTTGCTCATTTCACCCGGTGGATACACACAATTAGGACAATAGATGGTTGAAGTTGAAAAATAGAGTATGTGAAGTTGATGTTGGGAATCAGTATTTGAAAGTTAAAGTGTCCTAACACTTTGAAACTATAAGGAATGTTTCTCAGACCATCGAAACTGAAATTAAGGTGAAATATTCCTCCTATCTCTTCTTGATTCCATATCTTTCTAAGAATTTGAAACATGCAAGTAGACAATTTTTTCATTTATATGTGAATTTATTTATATCAAATCCAGTTAATGCTAGCGTACATCTAGAAGATTACAACCTTAATAATTTCCAACAAAGACAGAGCTGAGAAATATTTGGAAATCACTTGTGTCAGATATAAGTTGAATTATGTCATCAATAAGAATTCAACTTCAGTTTAATTCTACATGCACAAAATGGAAGGATGAAATGCAAGATATGCCCACTATAGTTTACATTTTGTAATCATTCAAAGAGAAAAACAAGAATATATAGAGTTAGATATACATTTCAGAACCTACTATCTCAACTCAGAACCCGTAACATTTAAACTCTAGATCCACCACTTTCTGCAGGAGACTAGCACATTTTATACTGTTACAAATGTTTCTCCACTAGTAAAATCAAGAATCCAAGACCAAATGGAAAGAATAGCTGGGGCAGAAAACTGCAGGCTCTCAAAATAACATCTTGCTCGGTTACAATTTAAACGTAAATCTGTACACTCCATTTGTGAAAAATAGGAGAACTGGTACATGAAAAAGATGTATGAAAAATCTCTAGCAGTGGAGAGCCAGTTTAGAATCCTCTCAACTTGTTTTCTATCCCGAGCATCGTTTGACTTGCTTCTGAATTATACATACATGCATGTGTAGATCTATCCCGTTTAACACACTCAGTTCCAGCTTCTTCTTGTTCTGAAATGTTTCATGTAAAAGAAATAAATAAGACAGCAAGAATGTCAACTCCAATAATCTCGAACTTCTTTTAAGTTCCTTCTGCATTTCAATTTTTGGTTTTAAATTATATTGAATTTTCTATACCTACTTGAGTGATGTCATTACTAATAGTCATATATTCTTCAAAGAGTGTAGATATTTATACTTCCGATTCTTTTGCTGAGAACGCCAAAAGCAAGCGAGCGCTCCAAATGCACAGCTAGCAACTGCGATTGCCAATGCAGCTCCAAGTGGAACCACCACTGCATTTGTTGAGGCCACCAACTCTTCATTAACTGTTTTCTCAGTCCCACCAACTGCTTGCAGTTCTTTCTCCTTGTAGAGATTCACTAGCTCTTTCCCATAGTAACTAACCAGAAACTTAAAGACCTCATCCTCATTCCATTCGATCTTACTATTTTCTTTGCTCTTTTCACCTGGGTTAAGATAGCACGACGGACAAAGCTGTTTTGAAGGCCAAATAACTTTTGGAAATTCAGGATCACCTGTTCCTAGTGATGCTTCATCTTTCTTTAGTCTCTCATTAACTTTGTTGTGAGCTCTCCATAACCAAAGGGCATAATCACGCGCTTTCTTGAATGGATTAGGTACGCTGGAATTGAAAACATTTAAAATACAACAGTTAAATGACCAGACTTTGATGGTCAATAACAAAAAGGCAATGTTCAGAAAGTTTAAGTTGAGAAACAGAAAGAGCCTCGTTGACATTTTACCTTGAACACATGTCATAAAAGTGTTGCCTACATTCCTCACAGATAAAAAAGTTGTGTATAAAATCACATGTAGTTCTAAATGCCATGTTACTTTCTCCATCCTCAACTCTGATAGAGAGTGAGTGTAACAACACCCATAAACCGCAACTGCAAAAGGTAAACATGTGGCTAAGAAAACTGCCAAAGAAAATTAACATTGTAAGTTTGTATTAACTTTTGATCCACTACCTCTGCTACTGTATCGTTTTAGCAAAAGCATTTAGCCCTGAACTGCAATAGATTTGAACCACTATCTTTGAGTTGCTGGTTTTATGTGTGTGGCTGCAGGAGCATTAATCAATCCTTCACCGCCATTGCAGTTTCATAAACCCCACCCCACCCCCCTTTCCCGGTTCTGCGACCAAACCCACCTAAGTTTGCTCCCTTTCTTTCAAGCCCTCATAGTCTCCACGTCAAACAAAAACCTAGATCATAACTTTTGCTGGTGCAAACTTCACTCCCTAGACATTAATGCTATCAAAGAAGCAAAGTGCTTTGAATTCAAAGAATACAGGCATTTAAGAAGAAAATGAACCGCAGTTTCCAGTTACAAGCGCTTTGGAGTTCTGGGGTCTACGGTCTACCTACTGATTATGCATCCAGTATTATAAGGTTTTAAATTTATCAGACTTCTACACCACAAGATAAACACATCCAATTCTTCAACTTTATCTATAATTTACTCTAAGTTTTTCCGCATCTTTAACAGTATGCTATTTAGATAAATGAAGCCTCCAAGATTTAAACCTCAACATGTATGTCAGACAGGCTTCCGAGATCTACATCGGATTTTTTAAGTAGAATGACAAAATCATAATTCTACATTCTTTGAAAGGAAACTATTTCTAACATTGATCCATTTGGGAATTTTCAATTATTTCGTAAACCAAAATTCTGAGTCTAAAAGATAATTGAGACAAGAAAAAGTGTAACAAATTACCCTTTTTAATATGAAGAGACAATATGGGTTACAATATCTAGGATGTCACCAGATCTACAAAGAAAGTCCTCTGATTCTTCTCCTCTCAATGTCGATTCAAGGGCTCTTATTTTGTTCTTGGGTGTATTAGGTCACATCCTTAGATGCAAACCAATACCAGAGGCTATCCCCTGTCCCGCTTGGCCCTTTAGGCCATTACTCATACTGCCTTTGACACAATAACATCGAAAAATACCTTAAAGACATTGTTGAGTCCCACATCGACAATGAAGGGGATGGGTGGTCTCCTTATATGGACTTAGGCAATCCTCTAACAGACATCAATAGAATGCAAATCCTCAACTTAACATCTCTGTAATGAATTATCTGGCAACGAGTTTGTTCACTATATTATTTTCCTATACAGCTTTTCTACAATCATAAAGTTGTAAATGATTTCACAGATGAATAACGAGTACATGAATAATCCATTACCTGAAACCTCTGGTATCGTTCTTGCTTCCACGACAATACATCTGCACGAAACAGATTGTCATAAACGAATCAGAAATGCTTAAATTGTACTACAAAGCAAAGCAACATGCAGAATCTCCTTCAAGCTATTAATATCGTATAAAGATGGGGTGTCTTCATGCACAATACTATTCCACCTTACAAGTTCCACCAGATTAGCGAAAGTTAGGGCCCATTTGGGGAGCTTTTGCTACCATTCCGTTTCATGTATCTTAGACATAGCACTGATCCAAGACCTCATATAAGTCAAAATTAGGAGTAGGATGAGGAAGGGGAGGAGCTATAGAACCACTACGATATGTACAAGCTAAATCAAACTCAAAGATATCTATACACATAGAGCATATCTCATCCAACTAACCCCTGCCCTTTCCCCATCGACCACTCACACCCCACAACCAACACCCCAAAAGAGAAAAAGAAAGGAAATGAAAAAGGGACTTAAAATTGAAACACATAAAAAGATTGGACAATCAAAAGGTTAGCGTTCTTATATAGCCAATAGACAGTTACTGACAAAGTTACAAAATAAGTTTATTAGTCCGGCCACAGATGACGAGCTAAATCAAACTCGATCTATACACATATCATAGATTTCTCATTCAACATATAGCACCAATCCCTCCCCTTCCGCCATATCCCTTCGACAANCCACAACCAAGAAAAGGACTGAAATATAAACACTTAAAAGGAGACGGTTGGACAAGCAAAAAGGTTAGCTATCATATATTGCCAAGAGAAGATTATGAAAATAAACTACTGCGAGTTCAGTTTTCCAGCCACAAAAATATTTCCTCAACACTTGTGAGGATTCATTTTTGTTTTTAATTAACTTGCTCCACTGAAGGACAATAAGGTTTACACTTTACTGTCTCCTTGTCATCTCACCATGATTTCTATTGACCAGTAACTCTTATGACATAAAAGCTTCGTGAATTATACACCAGTTTCTGCCAAGAGTTATGTACAAATTTTCCCAGAGAACTTAAGCTAGATTGATGAACAATTGATATGAGTACACTCCATATGGAAGAACTTAAAATATATAATTTGAGATGCATGTGTTCTTAGTTAAATGTTAGGATTTAAAAATAATAGTGTATATCTACTTACAAAAATAAATAAATAAATAATGCGTCCGCTCAATTTATATATGACACTCTTTCCACAATGGACGTCCCAAAATGTTTTCACTCCACTCACTAATAAAATTCTATATAACTTTTAACAACTTTCAAGAATTCAAATTCATTTAACAAATCAATTTTAAACTTTGGTGTGATATTTCATTTTTGAAATAATTTTCTCAACCATTACCTTAATATTTTCTTCCACTACCACTAATATAATCATATAAGCCGAATTAACATTTTAAACTCCGTGTCCATTCAAACAATGTCATATATGAGACATAAAACACAACTATGGGAGTAATAACAATAATAAATGTAGGAAGTTTTTATCTCAAAAGCTTCCAATTTTTTTCATTGTCTAGAGTTCACTATGTTTATTATTTTTTTAACATCTAAGTGAGTTATATTAATAAAAAGCACCAACATGGTGTACATCATTGCTTGCAGTTTATTTACATGGAACCCTCTACTAATAAATAAACTAAAGCTAAAACATAGAACTGCTAAAACTAAAGCTAAAACTTAAAATAAACTAAAGCAGAAAAAATCTGAAGAAAATAGGTGGATCATATGAACTGCATATGAAGAAAGCTAGTTTATGACTGAGGTGTAGTTTGATTGATTGATTGCGCATTGAGTATAAGTTTCTTGCTCTAGAATATAGAATCAACTCCACCGCCAGGATAGGGCAATGACCAACTTCAACTAAATAAACAAGTGTATAATGAGCTCAGTATGCATCAGCTACAGTAAAGGAACAAGCTTATGTACCCACCCAATATCCACGAGGAACCTCTTTTCCACAAATTTGGTAATTTCCCAGTGCACCCTTTTTGCTACAACTGTCAGCCTCCTCATTATTCACTGACAATATCTCTGACGGACATAGATTATCAAAGTCAACCAATATATCTGCACTTCCCTTCCGGCACCTAGCAAAAATATCCAAATTTTACAAGTCAATGAAAGGCACAATATGCTTTTACAAATCACAAAACTCTGGAATGTAGGAGCTAACCTCTTAGAAGGATGATGAGCCACCAAAAGTTGAAGGAATTTTATAAGTGATGCCCGTGTCCCTGATCTAATCATCTGCATTAATTGAGGACCAAATATATAGAACTAAGTCATGCAAACCAAAGGTATCCATGAGAGAGAGAGAGTTAGCTTTTTTACTTTATGGTCTAGAATGATGCCAAAGGCAGTAGATGTTGCCTCCTCAACGTCATATATAGCTGTGGCAATCTTCATAGGAAAAGAATTACAGAAGTGAGAGATACGCATAAAATGGACAGCTTAAATTTGTAAAACTAGAAAACAGAATTTGATATGATGCTCTCCTAGTAACCTGGGCAGGATCCGAAAAGTTCTTCTGAAGATGCTCATTCTCATACTTCCCATCATCAAAGCCATATGAGCTGAAATTTCAAAGTTAATACAATGAAGAAAATAGCTGATTAGGCATTAAACTTGTGAAAGACAGAGACATAAACAAATTTAAAGTGAAAACAGATTTCATTATGTAACAGCATACAACTGATGGATTTAAGCAATGGCCAGGAATTTTTTTCTTTACCTCGCTGAAAAAAAAATCTATCAAAAAGAAAATAAATTATTCACTGGCTATTGCTTAAGTTCATCAGTTTTATAGCCAGTACATAGTATTATGTAGCTGTTTATCATGGGAAAGAGTATGTTCTGCAGATTTTCATCCTTGAATAGGAAGAAGCTCTACTTCTGTTAGAGTGCAAGTCTAATTTTACCATTGCATAGTGTGGGAGTAATGATGTACAAGTAAAAGCATGTACAACTTCAGAAGGTAGTTTATGAGGGAGCAACCGAATTCAGGCCAAAACTGAACAACTTTTATGCTACCTCAGCCTATGGGAATTATGTTTTCTCTACACCTAGTACAACATTAACCAGAATCCCCATGGCACTGACTTTTATACTTTTCAAACTATTCATTACCATTATATCCATAAAACTCAAAAGTAACTTATCAGCCTTACAGACTCTTCCATCAAATTCTATGATCATGTCTATTTCATGTAATAGAGGAACCCTCCTTAGTAGACTAAATATTTCTATTATGTCAAATGGCAATGACTATTAAAGATATTACAGTTTAATTTCCCGTAGAGCACAAAAACCAAAGGAAGGCGGCTCAGATGAATTATCGAGAAAGATAAATGATATATTCTCAAAATTATTACTTCATGAAAGTAGCTACCACAAGACACAATCAGCTTTAGAGATTTAAACACCATAAGACAGCTAAATTTAGGAAATGACTTCACCAATGACTACAAAACTTATGAAGGAGATCATATATACCTTCCCAGTTGTTTGTTGATCCAGCCTAGCAAGATATCAGCTGTGCGTCCATTTTCAATGGAGCGTATTTCACTATTTTCTTGTTTTGGATCCCAACCACTACCAACAAACTTCTTAGGAGGGCCCCATAGAAGCATCGGGTAATGCTTCACAGAGAACTTATCACAAAGATTAGAATTTATCTGTGCTGCCAAAAAGATGAATAAGAGGAAAAAATCAGTTAGGTATATGTTAAGAAAAAAGGCTCTTAACAGAGTGAAAAAAAAAAGAAAAAGCTAATGACAAGAGAAAGAAATAATGAAGAAAAGTGTCTGCATAAATGGGAGGTAGCAAGTGGTAAGCCCATTAAAAACTCACTCCAGGGGAAAAAGTATGGCAATATGATTAAAAAGCAAGAATCCCCAATCAAAGCAATATTGACTGAGTCTATGCTAACCAATTTAAATGGAAAGAGCATAAAAATACTGATTAACTTATTAAAAACAAGGAGAATGATTAAACTTGTCTCTTGAGGCAAAAGATATTACTCATTTGGAAAACTACACCACCAGCGAAATAGCTTCAAATTGTCTTGTCATCTATCTTTGCAGACTAAACTACATCTCTTCTTCCTGGAGGGTGGGGCCCGTTCCTCCCAAAGAGAGACGCAGACACAGAGACTATGACCGTCAAAGTAACTTCCATATTATAATTTTCAAACATTCGAAATGGCGAATGAGAGGGCAGGAGAAAGCATAATCCACGGATTATAGTTAATTTAAAACAACTATAAATTTGGGAAAAAGATCATCGAAGAAAGATGAACGCTTTTCATAAATACCAGAAACCACCAGAAAAAAGGGAAAACGTTCAAAATACGGTTACTGACTATTGACAAATGTGCACTCAAACGAGGTGATTATGTAATAAATACAGGATAAAAGTAATTTTTAGAAGCATAAATAAAGCATAGAGTAATACCGTCAATGCACAGTCTACCCTTGTCATTAATATGATTCCTGGATGACTGGCATCTGCCCCATTGAAGAGTCTTGCAACCTTTTCATAATGTGGCTGCAAAAGTATTGACTCATCTATTAGAAATATCACAATGGAAGTTCATAGACTCCCTCTGTTCCACTTTATGTGGCATAATTCAGAGTATGAGGGTCAAACCAACTAATTTTTTTGTGAATTGGGACAGAATCTTCAATTTTTTGAAATATATTTTTTTTACATATTTAGAAACTACGTAAAAAGTACTATAGGTTAATAACTAAAAAGTACTATAGGTTAACATAGTTTAGAATTCAAAATATTTAAAAAATATTTGCAAACATGTGGTCAAAGAAAACCTCATTTGACTCTCCAAATAGTAATTGTGTCATATAAAAGTGGAACAGAGGGAGTAATAAGTAGTATATTCATACCTTGTAATTTCTGCAAGCAGGGCACCTATGAGACCAATAAAAGAGCTTCAAGTGAGAATCACGTGGATGCAAACTCGGTACAAAATAATATGTTTACAAATTTAAGATAGTACTTGAACAACATGGAGAAGTTGATCAAAGTATTGGTAAACACACGCCAATGAAACAAGTATAGGCAACATATTACTTTTTCTCAAAGTTGTGGTGGTGTTAAATTTGCTCATCTTTTCCTACTCCTATAGAATTTTGATATGAATTCCACATCAAGTTGAGTATAACATATTACATAACCAAGCAAAAGAAGAACCAAAATACACAATGAACAATTATTAGAATTCCTGGATTACGCAAACACATTTCTTGGTGAATAAAAAGAACACAACTAACTATATATGAATCTAAATCAACCAAATTGCTGAATTCTAATAACCACCAAAGTCTTTTCTTACTCCTACCAAGTAAAACTTTTTAGTTACTATGAGGTCATGTTCTTTGTATACATTTTAACATGCTGAAACCTCAGCACCAACAATTTTTCTTCCACCAATTAACAAGGTTCCTTTGGAATCAGTGGAGGAAGTAGCCTCGGTGCTACTGGTTCAACCAAACCTAGTATTTCTGCCATAGAACATACATATATATGTGAAAAATAACAAAATTTCAACAAATATTAGATTTAGAACTCATAATCTTAGAAGTATAGTGAGTTTAGTGCCAAGAAGTTTAAAGATTGAACCCATCAAGTTAAATCGTGGATCCGCCTCTATGTGGAATGAAATGGGTGTAGAGTTAAATGAGTATTTGAATGAAATGGATTCCATTATGCAGAATGGATGTAGAGGTTTCATGCCCAAACTATTGATATAGATGAGCCCACCAGTTTGGGATTGAGGCAAAGTTATCATTCTTGTGATAAAAAATTACTTTGAAACGAAATTGTTGTACCCTTAAATATCCTTTGGAATGAAATAGCCCCTGTGGAGCTGAATAGATACAAAATTTCATATAGCCAACCCAAACTAGCTCAAGGTTGAGGTGCTCTTGAAGGTGTAGCCTAACAGAACGAAGCGGAAACGAAGACCATGTGAGATAAGGGTTCAAATCCCTACTAGGGCAAAAGAAGCAAGGCGACTTCATTCCAATGAGTATATAAGTTCTACGCATTGACAATGTAGAAAATATTTACACAATCAGGTCACTTAAAAGGTAATTGCAAGAAACTCTAATTAATAGCATTGATCGATAAACTAGATTATGTGATCTATAGCCTGCTTCTTTTGAGGAAAAAGCGCATTTTTTGTCAAAAGTGTTTTTTTCTAAAATTAATGTGTTTGGCCAAGCTTTTGAAAGGAAAAAAAATAGTCTCTATAAAAAAAATAAAAAAATAAATTTTTTTTCGAAAAGCACTTTTGAGAAAAATACGTTTCCGAAGCAGTGTTTTAAAGCTTGGCCAAACACTAATTGCTGCTCAGAAATGCTTTTCAAATTAATTAGCCAAACACAAAATACTCCTCGCCAAAAGTACTTTTGAGAAAAACACTTTTGGGAATAATCGCTTCTCAAAATAAGCTTATTTTTGCAGCTTGGCCAAACAGGCTAGTAATAGGCTAAATTAAACTAATGGGGTCAAAAGATCTTTACATTGTCACTCAATGTATATAACTTAAATGCTCAATACTTGATGGACAGAGTTACCCAGTATCCCTACTAGTTGGCCGTGACACCACGGTTATAATAAATAAAATTAGCTTGAGATTAAGGGCGTAGTTATTGTTAACAAGGTTATATAAAGCAACATCCGAAAAAACTTCTAATTCCCCCAAAAAAAAAAAACAGTAAACTGACCAGTGAGCAAAGAATTCAACAATAGCATAAGGGGCAGGAGTGTCTTTGAGCACTGTATCAAAGTTGGTGGCATTCAATTCAACACCAAAATCAGGTTTTTCACCATCTTGATTATTGCTAATTGCCCTAAGAATTGCACGCTGAGATCCAGCTGAAATAGAAACCGATTGTTCTAAGCTTGATATAAATGTAGCCAAAAAGAGCATAAATATTGACCAAGACATGACCAAGATTTCAGTAAAGGTAAAAAAGGGTGTATGTGAGTTTTTGTTGACCCGAGTATGTATGTAGAAAATGGATGGCGGAAGGGGAAAAGAGGGTCAAATATGAGTTTTGAAGTTTTATAAGGGAAGACTTCGATCTGATTTTGGTAATTGCCTTAAAGAAAATGCTCCTTTTCAGATTTCGTTAGAACAGAGGGACAGATTACCTAACTCCACTGTCCTTTGCCCTGTTAAAAAAAAATAATTTGATTTGTTTTCCCAGGGGCCAGGGCCTCTTATTTGATATGTCCATTAGGTTGGTATTAGGAGAAATATGAGGTTAAGTTTGGAAATGGTGTGTTATAGGGGTGTTCAAAACCGAACTAATCGAAATCGAAGCTTAATGGCTTATTGGTATCGGTTTAACGGTTTAACGGACGGGGAACAG